TGTGTGTGTGTGTGTGTGTGTGTGTGTGTGTGTGTGTGCAGAGTGTGTGTCTGAAGGGCCATGACTGAACAATGGAGACCTGAGACCTACAGGAACCTTCCCAGAAGTCTGAGTTGCTTCTCCCTACTTCCTGTAGCCAAGGAAAATAGAGCAGAAAAAGGTCACAGGGGTGGAACAAATTAGAGTATCACAAGAGAACAAGAAAGGCATGGAAATCCACACAGTTAGTAACCCAGGGGCTTATTGGCAGATATTTCCAAATGTCTGGCCTTGTTGAGGCCAAACGGGATTTGTTTTGGGGGAGTTCTCAATCTCATGGAAGACTCAGATGGTACAGTGAGATTTCCCTGCTCTCCAAATAGTGGAAACAGTGTTTGCTTGGGAAGCAGGAGAGAAGGCCCTCGTGCTGTCAGGAAGTGAGGGTAGAAACCATTACAGCACCCAACTGCAGGTGGTCTTTCATAGTGGTTCACAAGGACGAGCAGAACTGAGGGAGGCAGAAGCCGAGGAAGGGCTGCCTGGACATGAGAGGGGACATGGAAAAGCCATCACACAGGACAGTGCCTGAGCCAGCTCCGGGACTGGTGTAGAATCCACCCTGCCAGGTTTTCTCTGTGGAAGATTCTGCTCTAGTGCTCCTGAATCGGTGGCAGGACGAGCACCAGCCCTGACACCTGAAAGTGTAATGGGCCTGTCATTTAGCCTGAAGAGAGCCACTTTCCCAGGAGCACCACACTTTAGTAGCAGGTTCAGGACAGGAGGCAGGTGGCTGTGACTATGCATAAAGAACCCAGCTGTGCTGCCTGGGTCTTGATGTCCTGGAGTCCTCCAGAAATTCCCAGGCTGGCTGCAGCAGCCTGTGGGGGAGTCTCCAGGAAGCAGGCATCACATGTCTGGGAGACCTTCCAGGGAACAAGGGCAGTATCATGACTACCTGTTCCAGTTCTGTAGGACCTGCAGCAGGGTAGTCAGGCTGGCGAACTCACAGGCCCTTAATGGCTCTGAGAAGCTTCCAGGGTTGTGGGAAGGAACCGTGGAAAAAAATATCATTTCCCTCAGGCTGGGGGCCAAGGACCAGACCCAGGTACCCTCACATCCAGGCACTCCATAGTCAGGTCTCTCTCCTCACTGGTCTTCTGCAGGTGGCAGCCAGAAGAGAGGCTGGGGATAAAACTAGCTGAGCTACAGGGCATATGTGGTGTTCCTGGCAGTCTTTTGTTTGTGCAGCACTGAGCTGTTAACCCAGGGCCTCACATGCACTAGGCAATCACTCTACCCTTGAGCTACATTCCAGCCCATCTGAGCATTCTTCAGGGATTTAAAACTATGAGAAAAAAAATCAGCCAAAATACACGTTTCTCCTGAAATTTGTTCCATTCCTTAGCTAACACCTAAGTCTTTCTAAATACTGTCCCCTAAAAAGCCAACCAGATTATACATATTTTATACTTGTATATATGTAAACTTAAATGTATTTGCAGTTTAGTATGTAGTCTTGTGTATGCATGTATAAATGTATATAAAGTGACTTTTTGAATATTTATTTATGGGGGTATTGGCAATCTGGCACCTGTATACTCAAGTGTTATGATCAGGGGACAACTTGCTGGAGTCACTTCTTTTTTCCTACAGTGTGGGTTCCAGTGATCCAACCTAAGTTGTCAACAGCAGGTGTCTTTACCTGCTGAGCCACTGGCTCTAAAGTATCTTTATGCCTATGAAGACTCCTTACATAAATATCTAATATGTCCCTTTTCTGTGAGCCAATGTCCCCATTGTTCATTCTCTCCAAATGTCCCCTTGGCTTCACAACTTTCAGAATGTCATTTCTCATTCCCTTGACCTCCCAGGGGAAAAGCTGGGCAGTGGCTCTATTATAACTCACTCTGTCTCATTTCCTTGGCATTCCCAAGTTCCCAGCCACTGGCAGGAGATGAACGATGAAATGGGTGGGTCACTGCTCTGCCCCCAGAAGTTCTCTGAATGTGTAAACTCTTGCATTCCTCCATGTCAGAGGGACATGCTGGGTATGACAGGGTCCAGAAGACAGCCAGTGCCCCGTAGGGTGGAAACAGCAGGAAAAGCTTCCCAGTGTTAAGATTAAGCCAGATTCTGAGGATGAGTAGGAATGTGCCAGTCAAAGGCAGCAACTTGAACAATGCCTAGCAGACGGAGTGCCCTTTCTGAGTGGCCTCTTGTAGAGGGCTTGCCATATGCCACTGAGAGTTGGGGTCTCAGGATCCAGTGTCCTCCTGCCCAGCCCGTCTTCTCTCTACACAGTGTCGGGGGAAGCCATTCTCCTACATCCATCTGTGGACTCGGTTCCTGTCAGCTCTGGCTGGCCTCCTCTACGCCTCAGCCATTGTGGCCCATGACCGACAGCCTGAGTACCTCCTCCAGGCCACACCCTGGTTCCTGATTTCCCTGGGCAGAGCCTCGCTGGACCTTGCTGTATCCCCTCAGGTCCAGAGGCTGGGGAGGCTGGATTGCCTGCACACCATGGCCTTGTCCTACCTCCCACCTGCCATGCCCTCTTTTGGTCTTGCTGGGTGACATGTGGCCCAGCAGTCCAGTGATTTGAAACCTAGACAGATAGACACCACCACAGTGATCAGCGGGTTCAAGTGCTTTCCCAGTTCAAAGACAATCTTCTTGCCCAGAGTCCTCCAAAATAGCAAGGGAAGTGGCAAGGCTCTGAGCCTTGGGGTTAAAGGCCCCAGCTCCAGGCTCAGTTCTGCTTCTTACCAGGCATCTCTCCAGAGATCCTGCCCTCCCAGGGAAGGAGTCTCTTTCTCCTCTCCTGCCAGGCCTTTCTGTGGCTGGCCTGCCACACAGGCTCATTCTGTTCAATTCTCTTCTGCTGGTGCAGAGATCCAAGGTGACAAATGTGGCCTTCAGTTGGTGGCTGCTGAGCAGCCCAACCGGACTCCTGGGGCCCCAGGGGTGCTACAGGCCCCAAGGGTGCTACCTGATGTGCTGTCTGCCACCCAGGTGACCTTGCATGAGGTTTTCAAGGGCAAGGGAAGCTGAGCTGGTGGCAAGAGAACCTCTGATGGTGACCTTGCTGTAGTGGTGGTGGGAGTGTGTAAATTACCCAGAGCAGGTCACTCTCAAGCCACCTGTCTCCGAATCCCGCAACCCCAGAAGCTGCCCTCATCTCTTCTGATGACCTGAGACCTCCAGAACTATTTTTTTAAATCTTTTTTTTAATTATTTATTTATTATGTATACAACATTCTGCTTCCATGTATATCTGCACACCAGGAGAGGGCACCAGATCTCATAACGGATGGTTGTGAGCCGGGAATTGAACTCAGGACCTCTAGAAGAGCAGTCAGTGCTCTTAACCTCTGAGCCATCTCTCCAGAACTCCCCCTCCAGAACTCTTTAGCTGTGGCTTTATATTGTTCTTCCTTTATGAGACAAGTTCTTTGTATGTAGCTAAGGCTAGGCTTGAAGCCAGATCCCCCTGCTTTGGCCTTGGAAGTGCTGCAGTGGCAGGTGTTACCACCACATCTTCCACAGCCTTCCTTTCTTCCTCTTTCTCTGCATGTCTTCCCTTCTGAGGACTCCAGGCATTGTGTGCAGGCCCACTTGGGCTCTCCTTTCCAATAAGGTCCACAGCCTGTGTTTTCTTTTTAGTTTCTTTCTTTTCTTTTTTTTTTTTTTTTGTTGTTGTTTTTGTTTTTTGAGACAGGGTTTCTCTGTGTAGCTTTGGAGCCTATCCTGGCACTCACTCTGGAGACCAGGCTGGCCTCGAACTCACAGAGATCCACCTGCCTCTGCCTCCTGAGTGCTGGGATTAAAGGCGTGCGCCACCAACGCCCGGCCGACAGCCTGTGTTTCCATGTAGCGCACATGTGTTCTCCCCCACTATATACGCTACCACTGTAAGGCACGCCCGAGGAAAGACGTTTTCCGATGATTCTGTCTCACAGGCATTTAGCGGGGAACAGAAAGATAGAGCAAAATTGATAAGGCCCTGGCTTCAAGATGTGCCCTGTCCGCCTGGGACAGCGTCATTCCTGGGAGGGACCAGGGCAGGCTGCTGGGGCAGCAAGGGTGTGAAGAGCACCTCCTGGAGGCTGACATTCTCCACTTCCGCTTCCGTCTACCTTAACTTCCACGTCTCAGATCATCTTTCTGTCCTGTGTGGTCAAGAGCAAGATGAGACAAGCCTTCGGATTTGCTGCCAAAGCCAGAGAGGGCCCCGACACGCAAGCCCTTTTGACGTGCACAGAGAAAGAAGACAGTCAGGAAGCCAGGACTGAAGACCAGGTCTCTCTGGGTAGAAAATGTCTGGTTTTCTGGCTGGGTACACAGAGGTGGGAAGTACTGGGTACAGGGGCTTCTTTCCATGCGCGGTCTCTTAAAAAACTACTTTTTATATCCAAAGCTTACATGATCCTGAGTGCAATGAGATTCTCTATTTTCCCAGTTCCAAGAATTCTTTTAGGTTTTTTGTTGTTTTGCTTTGTTTTTGTGACTCAAGGCATTATTCTTGAAGCTATGTAGTTGGATAGTCAAATAGTCACTCGTGTTATTCAAGTAGTTTACGGACAGACATACACACTCACATACTGTCTAGGTTAGTGCCTTAATTTTGAAACAGTGTGGGCTTTTCCACTCTTAGTTCATAAAATCGCTTTCCCACTGTCCCATGCATCTTTGATGTCATCATCACCTCCAGACAATTCCAGAGTATGCTGAACTCATTTCCGCCATTGTACATGTGTGTGACACTGTTTCTGGAAAACAGATCACAAGGACCCATTTGTATTTGAGGCCACTGCAGTTTAACTGTCCCTGCTGGGAGGGACTGGTCTTGCTGAATTCCCACCTAGGGGAGTGTTGCCTGTGTTAACATCCAACATTTTCAGCGATAATTTGCCACTAGTGAGAGTCAATATGTCTGAGGCAAGTGTTTGTCTCCTTAGTGTTGCAGTGTTGGGGATGGATCAGGGCCTTCTGCCCACTAGACAAACGCTGTCTCTGCACGGCACACCCAGCCTCTTGGTCACTTTTGTTTGATCCAGACTGGTGATGTCTATGAGTAACCGGAACTGACTCTAACGGAGGCAATTTGTCCTCATCGAAAGACTGTCATTACACATCATTGTGGAAGCTCGTAGGAAGTTTAAGCTAAGCAGCTCCCTTTTACAAATTTTGGAGGTCTAAAACAGTGTCACCTGCTCCTGGGCTCCTCAGCACTTCAGGTCCTTTTTACAGAACAGGACATGAAGGAGGATGGGAATCCCTTTAATGAAAGGACAAGAATAGGAAGAGAGGGGGTGAGTGAGAAAATAAAAAGTAAAACTGTTCCACAGAACATTCTAGGCTCCACAATGTAGCATGAACTGACAAAACAGAGGGACTGGTATGTATGTAACAAAGAGCAAGGTGGGTTGCTTGGGCTCTGAGTTTTCAGGAAGGCCTGGGGGGGGGCAACTATTTCCTTCACTCTAGCAACTGTGGTAAAGTTGTGCCTCACCAGGGAGCTGGCAGTACAGAGGTCTGTGTGACTCCGAACAGACAAGGAGAAGCCTTTGGTTATCTGCCATAGTCCTTGTAGGTATGTTCAGCATTTTGACATTGTCACCCGCTGTTGTCATCCACAAAGTTCATGATTGAGAATCACACAATTAAGTTACAAAACAAAAACAAAAACCCACTGGGCGTTGGTGGTGCGTGCCTTTAGTTCCAGCACTCAGGAGGCAGAGGCAGGCAGATCTCTATGAGTTCGAGGCCAGCCTGGTCTCCAGAGCGAGAGCCAGGTAGGCTCCAAAGCTATACAGAGAAACCCTGTCTCGAAAAACAAAAAACAAAACAAAAAAAAAACACAAAAAAAACACACACAAATAAATCTAGCAGAGTTTGATGTGAGGTCATGATCTGGGGTTGGGTTATATTCATTCATAGTGGTTGTGCGACTGTCGAGCTGTAGATTGGACACACCTGCTGACGGCAAAAGTTCTCAAAGTGAGGGCTCCAGACCAGATGTCCCTACTCTAAAGCCAAGGTGGCCTCTAGCAGGCTTTCCCAAGGTCACATTAAGTCAGCACCACTGCTTTGAATCAGGCTGTACTCAGTGCCTGCTGTGGTGGTTCCCAGACTCTGAGCACACCAAGATCCCTGGGGAGCAGCTTCTTCTGGGGCAGGATCTCACTGTGTAGCCCTAGCTGGCCTAGAACCCACCATGTAGACCCAGCTGGCCTCGAACTCACAGAGCTCCTCCTGCCTCTGCCTCTGAGTTCGGGATCAAAGGCATGCACCATCATGTCTGGCTTAAGGACTCTTGAATAAAATGAGACCTTCCTTTTAGAACATGCCTCCTAGCTTTATAATTTCTCCTTGTTACCTCTCTGTTTCCATTTCCAAGAACTCAGATTGGGTGCCTCTCACCAGCCTGTCGCACTGCAAGCCGCTGAGGACAATGACAGCCGTCAGTCGCTACATGGAGCTGACCGTTGAGCCTGTACAGCAGGTGAGTGGTGCTGAGTCACAGCTGGGTATCCAGATGGTGGGAAGAGAGCGGCCCTGGAAGGCTTCCTGGAAGAGATGGTACTTCAGCTGCTGGGGTCCAGTTAGTGTTCTCCAGCATTGCAGCGGAGGGTTAGCCCACGGGAGGAAAAGTTCCAGAAACCTTTTAGTTACCTCTACATGGGTATTTACAAAGAAAAATGAGGTCCAAGGAAGTCTCCGTATGGTCGAGGCTTCGTGCCATCTCAGGCTCAGGAAAAAGGCCTCTGGCTGCAGGGTCAGGAGGCGAGTTAGGAAAGGAGAGGGAAGAGTGTGTCTTCTTAAGCAGTGAAGGTCTCAGGTGATAGACAACAGCTGTGTCTGGAAGTAGCTTACCTAGCAGGGGGGAACAAGTTTCCTTTCCAAATGTGAATTACTATAAAGAAAGGAAAACGTATACAGTAGGTCCCTTTTTAAGATTTTAGTTTCTACTAACTTAAATGCTTTTCATTGTATCTGCTCATCACAGATGGTTCCTTATTACCTAAGGATATTTTCACACCTAGACACTGTATATAAGCTTATGTATGTTGTATGTATACTGTATGTTCCCCAACCCATGTATTAGAACTTGGTGAGACAAAACATACAGCTTCAGGGAGATGGGGGCGATTGGGGCTCACAGTTAAGGGGACAGTCCATCTTGGTGGGCAGCTTGAGTTGACTGGTCATGTGGTATCCTCAGGCAGGAAGCAGGGAAAGATGGGTGCTTGTGTGCAGCTTCCGGACCCAGCCCTGGGATTAGTGATGTCCACTCTTGGGGTGGACCTTCGTACTAACCTAATCCGCTCTTCACATGCTTACCAAGAGCCTGGTCTCCTAGGTGACGCTAGGTCCTGTCAAGTTGACAGTCAATATTATACACCACACCACACTCTGCTTCCCGGCTCTTTTCTTTCTGCTTCCTCCCTTCTCCCTTTTCTCTTTAGTTCACTTTGTTTTCTTGGACAGTGTCTTAGTTAGGGTTTCTATTGCTGTGAAGAGACACCATGACCATGGCGACTCTTTTTTTTTTTTCTTTTTTTGTTTTTTTGTTTTTTGAGACAGGGTTTCTCTGTGGCTTTGGAGTCTGTCCTGGAACTAGCTCTTGTAGCCCAGGCTGGTCTCGAACTCACAGAGATCTGCCTGCCTCTGCCTCCCGAGTGCTGGGATTAAAGGCGTGTGCCACCACCGCCCGGCAACCATGGCGAAGGACTCTTATGGGAAACATTTAATTATGTGGCTGACAGTTCCGAGGTTTAGTCCATGGTTGGAAACGGTGGTGTACAGGCAGACATGGTGCTGGAGAAGGGACTGAGGGTTTTACATCTTGGTCCACAGGCAGCAAGAGGAGTCTCGGTCCTGCTGGCCAGACCTGAGTTTATTATGAGACCTCAAAGCCCACCCCCACAGTGACACACTTCCTCCAACAAGGCCACACCTCCTAATGGTGCCACTTCCAATGGGCCAAGCATTCAAACACATAAGTCTCTGGGGGGCCATTCCTATTTAAACCACCACAGTCAGTTTTACTTCTATGCTCATGGCGTAGACACTTACATAATTGTGTCTGATATAAAATCAAGGAACCACATAGGTTCCTTGTAATAATGTAATAATTTATCTGCTGAGACTGATTTAATTCACTTAGTGTGATTATCTGGAGTCAACTCTGTTTTCCTGCAAATAACCTGGCAGTGTTTTTCTTTAAGCTCATTCCATTATGTATGTAAGCTCCACTGTATTCTGTAGTTATTCTGTAGTTATTCTGTAGTTATTCTTCGATGGTTGGATACCTGGGTTAGTTCCATAGCTTAGCTACTGCACATAGGGTCACAATGAGCACTGATGGGAGGGGGGTCTCTGTGACATACTGTCTAGGAGAAGTCCTTCAGGTTCGTACCCAAGAGTGCTAGCTGGGTCATGTGCTAGACCTATTTGTACTTTTGTGAGTCTTCTCCATACTGACTTCTCAATGGTGAGACTAGTCCATTGTAAATGAACTTCTTAGTTGGTCTAAATAATAAAAACCCAGAGTCAGATACAGAGGAAAATGCTGAAAGATCAGAGAGAGGAAGGAGCAAGCCACAGCCACACCTTACCTCCTAATGTCTCAGTGGACAAGAGAGAATGAGTTCTTGTTTCTCCCTCCTTATATCCTCTCTCCACCCAGCCATCTCATTTCCTGTCTGTCTGTACAGACCTCCAAACCTCTATGGTTAGCTAGTGGCAAGCTCCATTCTCCGATACCACCACAGTTTATATTAACCACCAGTAAATGTGTAAGGGTTCCTTATTGTTTTCTTTTTCATTCTGTCTCTGTCTCTCTGTCTCTCTCTCTCTCTCTCTCTGCATGTGTGTGTAAATGAGAAGAGGATGTTGGAGCTAGAATCACAGGCAGTAGTGAGTCATGTGACATGGGGGCTTGGATCTGAACTCAGGTCTCTCCAGACCTGTTGTTTGTTTTCTTAATGACTGCCATTCTGACTGGGGTGAAATACAATTTCAGTGTGTGTGTGTGTGTGTGTGTGTGTGTGTGTGTGTGTGTGTGTGTGTGTTTTAAAGATTTTATTTATTTATTATGTATACAGTCTTCTGCCCACATGCCAGCAGAGGGCACCAGATCTCATTCAAGGTGGTTGTGAGCCACCATGTGGTTGCCGGGAATTGAACTCAGGACCTCTGGAAGAACAGTCAGCACTCTTAACCGCTGAGCCATCTCTCCAGCTCCTCAGTGTGTTTTTTTAATTAAGATTTCTCTTATGGGTAGTGAGGTTGACACTTTTTGTATGTTTATTAATTACTTATATTTCATCTTTTGTGGACTGTAAATTTCATTAGAATATTTATTGAGTCTATTGGTTTCTTATTGATTAGTTTTTTTCAGTCCTTTGTATATTCTAGATGTTAATGCCAGATGTATAGATTGTTAATATTATTATTGTATAATTCAGAAAGTAATGTCAATGAGCAAAGATTTCTCTCCCCTTCCATAGGCTGTCTCTTTATTTGATTAACTATTTCCACTGCAGTTCAAAAGCAACTGGAGTCCTGTTCAGAAAATGCATGCCTATGCCTGTATCTTAAAGTATTTTTACCCACCTTTCCTCTAATAATTTCAGAGTTTTGGGGTCTTACATTAAGGACTTTGGTTCATTTGGAGTCATTCTTCATTTTGTTTTGTTTTTATGTTTGGTTTTTGTTGTGTTTTTATTCTTTTTTTTTTTTCCTCCTTGTGACAGTTCTTAGCTCACTAGGTAGCTCTAGCCAGCCTGAAACTTGCTACATAGACCAGACTGACTTGAACTCGCAGAGATCTTCTAAACCCAGAACCATCCTACATAAGGGACTTTGAGCACCCTGAGTTTCACTATCCTTGGCAGCCCTGGAAGGGGTCCCCACTCCGAGGGATGACTGTACTGTTAGGCAGTTATGAGGTGGCAAAGAGTTTCTCCTGTTTCTGTTGATTTTTACTTGTCTTTAATTTAAAATAATTCATATACCAAAGAGAATATTTTGGTCCCTCCCAGAATGCAATGGGTGTAAAAGATGGAGAGGAGATAGGGGACCAGGTGTGGTCTCCAGCTGTCATCCTAAGGGTAGTGACAGCTGGGGAGCCTTTGGGTCTAAGCTCAAGGGCACCGGTGCATGTCGGAGCTATTATTAGGTGGCAGATAGGCAGGGAGAAGTAACTAGAAGCAGGCGGTGAGCAATGGCCACTGTAAGTCTTGGGAAGAGGTGGTGAGACTTTGGGCTAAGTCTGGAGTAGATGGAAATGCAGAGAGTTGTAAACAGAGTTGGGGAAGGGGCTGCGGGGCTCTGGACTATCTTCTGGGTATTCAAGAGGGAGAGAGCTGGGAAGGAGATGGCAGGAAGTTCACCCACCCTCTATCCCATTACTCTCAGATTTCTGGGACAGCTCACCAGTGACTTCCCAGTTGCTGAGTCCTCTGTCATTTCTGTCTGAGACTCCCTTGAACTCTGGTGCTGACTCTGTGGCCCCAGCCCTGTTTTCTTGCCACTGGCATACTCACTCACTGTTAGCTTGTCCTTAGAGTGGGGTTGCCTCAATCCTGTTGGGGAGTGCTCCCTCCTCTTGGTGCTCTTGCAGACCCCAGTTCCACCACCCACCCCAAGCTATGTAGACTCCCAGGATGCATCTGTTCCTCTGCTTACTCCCGGTCCCAGATGCCCAGATGCCTGTTCACAGCAATCCAGGGCATCTCATTTTTGCTACGTCCACACAGAGCTCAGGCTTTCCCTGTCCAGATGGGGTTTCTTCTGCATCACAGGAAGTGGTGTTCCCATCTATGCAGTCGCTCAAGCCCCAGAGTCCTCTCTGTCTTCCCCTTGCCCCATCCCCTTCCTGTCCAGTCCATTTGTTGGTCCTGCAAATGCTTCTTTTAAAATAGCTAATGAAGCCCGTAGTCCCGCGCTAGAGAGGTAAGGCAGAGGATTGCTCCAAGTTCAGACTCTACCTGGGCTACTACTCATTGAGTTCAACACCCAGGATTTAATGAAACCCTGCGATGAACAAAACAAAATGATGCCTGGGCTACGTATAAGCAACCCAGGCTGCACAAAGACACTGTCTCAAAAAACAGGGTGGAGGTGGGAACTCTTAAAGCAAACAGCTGTCCCTCTCTGCCACCACTCCTGTCCCACCCTGACGTCTACTCCAGCAACCATAAGGGTTGTTTTTGCCTTGCTTTTGGTTTGCTTGGGGTTTTGTTGTTGTTTGTTTCTTTGAGACAAACTCTGTAGAGTTAACTGTCCTGAAACTGAGCTCCTCCTACCTTGGATACTGAGGTTGTAGGTGTGTGCCGACACGCCAAATGTAACTTGCATCTTTAAATTTTTATTCATTATTTTACATGTATGTGTGCATTTGAGTTATGTATGTATATACACCACATGTGTGCAGGAGCCCATGAGGTCAGAAGAGGGTTTCAGATCCCCTGGAGCTGGAGTTTTGGTTCCTTGGTAAGCCACCATGTGGGTGCTGGATTCTGACCAACCAGTGTTCTTAACCCTGAGCCATCTCTCCTGTCCCCATAACTTACATCTTAGCCTGCCTTTGTTTAAAACACTTCTCTCGCTTTCTCTTTCACACAGAATAAAATCTAAACTCCTTCCAGGGACTCCAGCCCTCCCAGGCCCTGACCTGTCCTTCCCTGGCTGTGTCCCTGCTCAGAGCTCCCTCCCTGCCTTCTAGCCTGCTTCCCTCCTCCCCTGCTGTGCAGGCCTTCTCTCTACTCTTTGCTTCTCTCTCAGACTGCAACCTGTGTGTCACCCCCAGGCCTCCCCAACCCCCAGGGTGAAGTCCCCCCAACTCTCTGTCCTCTTCCTTGGTTCTCTTAACTCTAGGGGTTCTCAGCAAAGCCCTGGCCACTGTTTTGCTTTTCTGCACCGGCCCTCTCTCGCCTGGCTTTCTCCTGGAGCTTAGAACTTGCAGGTCATGGGCCCTCAGTACAAGTGCATTTTGACCAGGTAGCTCAGTGGTGTGGCCCCTGCACCACTATGTGGTGGACACTGGTGTTTGGAGGACTTGGTGCCTGACAGCTAGGCTTGCCCCTTTTCCCGGTTACTTGTTGGTGACTCCCTCTGCTCGTGATGAAGTTCAAGAGAATCAAAGCACAATAGTGAAGAACCCACTCTTGAAAGCATTCTCTGACCAGAGGGAAAGAAAGAGGGGCCCTCCGGAGCGATTGTTTTTAAATCACAGCACTTAGAAAAAAAGTGTCTGAATGTTTTCTGAGGTGGGGTCTGGGCTGTGACTCGCTTCTAGAGTGCTTGCTTAGCAGCATGCTCCGTGAGTGTGGAGTTGTGTTCACCTTCAGCCACCTCACGCCTCAGTGTCCTATGATCAATACTAGGGAACTGCCCTCCCTACTACCCCCTGTCCCCAACCCCTACTCACACACAAAGGGTGTGTGCCTCCCTCATTCTCCCCTACTGAAGCCCAACCACCAGGGTGCCTCTTCCACCTGTGTCCACCAGAGGGCGTGAGGGACCGAGGTCTTGAGGACCTACAGCTCCACCCTCAATAGAGAAGTTTGAAAATCCTGGTTCAACTGTTGATTTGGGTGTGGAGCTGCCCCGGGGAATTCATTCTGTTGCCTAGAAGCCACCTGATTCCCGGCTCCTCCCACAGGCTGCTATTTCAGCTCCCTTCTTCCGAGGGCAGCAGGGTGGTGCCTAACCCGTGTTTCTGGGCTGCATCCAGAACGTGGCCTTTGTTCCCGTGTGGACCGTCTCCACCTGTCCACTGACTCATATGAAATGGTGCAGTCCACCTAGGACTGAGCCCTCATTATTGGGGCCAGAGCGTTTATGTCGGGTCCCTTTATCATTGCTGAGATCACCACCCTCATTGATTGGCTGGGAAATGAGACCCAAAGAGGACAAATTTCCACTGGAGGTGACACAGTCGGTCAGCAGAAGATGACCTTTCAGAAAGCTTTTCTAGGCTGTGTGTGGTCGAGCGGTTGTATCATTGTCATGCACACGACATGTAGGAGTCAGTTCTGACCTTTCTACCTTGTGGATTCTGAGGGATCAAACTCAGGTCACTAGGCTTGCTGGAAAGGACCTTTACCTGTTGAGTCATGTTGCCAGACCCAATGTATAGCCCAGGCTGGCCTTGAACTCATAATCCTCCCACCACTTCCTCTTCAGTATATCCTACCAACTGTGTCATTCACAAGCCCTCTCCTTTTTGTTATTATTGTTGTGATTCAAAGAGGGAGTCTCTTGCAAGCCAGGCTGTCCTGGCACTCACTATACAGCTTAGTATGAGCCAGAGCTCCTGATCCTCCTGCATCCACCTCCTAAATGCTGGGATTGAGTGCACACTCCACACCCTGGCCAAAGCCCGGGATGTTGCATGGCTCTGGAAATTCTGCAGATGGAGCTTTTCTGGTGGCTGAGGAGACTTCCACAGTCCCTGTGCTCTGTGGAGAATAGATGGGCTAGGTAGGGTGAAGATAGATGATAACAGATAGCTCCCAGTCACCAAATATCTTCTTCCCATGTCTCCCAATTCTCCCACCCTCATTCACACGCTGCTCTGGTGCGAGTTGACAAGGCCTCCATGGGATGTGTTTTACATGACCAGGTTACAAATGGACACCTCTCTAATCCAGAAATTCCTAGCAATTCTCTGAGTAGCCGGAAATCTTAGCTGTTTGGCTGTGTTTGTTATTTTTCTATGACCAAGGCAACTTATAGAATGAATGGTGTATTTAAGCTTATGATTCCAGAGAGTGTAAGAGTTCATAACCTCGAGGGCAGCAGACATGGCATGGCATCTGGATCTGGCAACTGGAAACTGGAGACACAAAATAGAACAAACTAGCAATGGCATGAATTTTAAAGTACTAAAGCTCATCCCCACTGATGTACTTCCTCCAACAATTCCACACCTCCTAAACTGCCCAAACAGAGCCACCAACTAGGGACCTAGTACTCAAAAGCCTGAGACTACGAGGGACATCTTGTTTAAACCACTGCACTGGTATGACTTACTATGGTCAGCACAGATTGGAAAAGCAAGAAATTTCAAAGCCCTGAGTACCCATCGGTAAGGGTATGAGCATCGATAATGCTACTCTTAACAAACCCCCATAGCGTATCACGTAGAGCTGTGTCTGAGGTGTATCATTAAGTGAAAATAAAACGTGTAAGAGACTGTAGAGTGTGTCACTCCACTGTTGGTGGAGTAAGGGTCCAGGGACACTGCAGCACACACATTTGTGCCTTTGGAATCCTGAAGTGTATGCATGCTTTGAATGCTAAAAAGTGAAGTAAGTCAAGTGTCCCTGCTCACCCTTTCCTTCACTCTTGCAGGCAGGCTGTAGTGCCACCAGGCTACCCGGTGATGGACAGACGAGTACCGGAGATGCCTCCCTACAGGAGCCCCCATCATACCCTCCCATTCAGGTCATCCAGGCCAGAGTGTCTTCCGGCAGCTCCTCTGAGGTCTCCTCCATCAACTCCGACCTGGAGGTACAGGGCCGGTGGGTGGGTGCATGGGCATGTTTCCTACCAACACTTGCTGGGGTCTCCTTGAGATTGACCTGCTTTCTAACCCTGCCTTATTAACCCCAAAACTGCTAATTATGAATGACGCTCTGCATGGCTCCCACAGTCTTATGGAGAAGCTTTCAAACTGGAATGGGACTCCAGCAATTCCATGGTTGGGCTGGTCAAGGGAATACTGAATGTTGGGGTCCATTTCTTATAGACTGCTTGCCTATTCAGATCCTTCCAACAGTAAAAAAAAAAAAAAATACACAAGAGTAATAAATCTCTTAAAAGCCTCCATGTTGTGGTTTAGGATTGATGGCTTAGGCTGGTTCAAAACAAAGCAACAAATTAAATATGTATAAATTCTTAGAGGCCAAATTAAGCAAGTAAGTGGCTCTGGCTGAGTCTGCCCACATTAAAAGATAAATTTGTAAGCTGGGTGGTGGTGGCGTACACCTTTAATCCCAGCACTCGGGAGACTGAGGCAGGTAGACCTCTGTGAGTTCAAGGCCAGCCTGGTCTACAGAACAAGTTCCAGGACAGCCCAGGCTAAACCCTGTCTCTCGAAAAAGCAAACAAAACATTCATCCTTTCTGTTTCTATATTGTTTTGTTTACTGCTGGGGACTGAACCCAAAGTCTTGACCAGCCTACAAGAGCATGCTACTGTGGAGCCGTATCAGACCTATGTCTTTTAAAGACTCACACAGTATCTGTCACTGTGCTGGTCTGAACGATAATGGTTCTCATTGGTTCATATAGTTAAATGCTTGGTTCCCAGCTGGTAGCACTGGTTGGGAAGGGTTAAGGAGTGTGGCCTTGTTAGAGGAGGTGTGTCACTAGGTGGGAGGGGTTGTGCCTCCCTCTGCCTCATGCTTGTGCCTCAAGATGTGGGCTTTCAGCTCTGCTCCAGCACCATGCCATCCTGCCTGTGCAATGAGATGTCATGGAATATACATATGTGGGGCAGACAGTTTGGAAAGCATAAAGAGAGCAAAGAAGAAAATATCACCAGGCGGCGGTGGCGCACGCCTTTAATCCCAGCACTCAGGAGGCAGAGGCAGGCGGATCTCTGTGAGTTCGAGACCAGCCTGGTCTACAAGAGCTAGTTCCAGGACAGCCTCCAAAGCCACCGAGAAACCCTGTCTCGAACCCTCACCCCCTCAAAAAAGAAAAGAAAAGAAAATTCAAATCAAGCTCCTGGCTCACTAACCAACAGTCACCTCCTCCATGCTGTTGGTTTGGGGAGCCATGGGAGCCATGTTCCATGAAGCATCCTTGGATGCTTGCTACTGAGTGAGATCAGGAAGGTGTCTGTTAGCAAATGACGCAACCTCACCTCAGCATCTGGTCATCCAGCAAACATTTACTGAGCGTGGGCATTTGAAGGAAAAACATATGAGGACAGAGGGCCTGGCCTGAACCTGCCCACAGGCAGGCAGCTCCAGTGCCTCTGGGCCACAGTGACTCAGATCTTCTGCAGACGCCTTCAGATGGAAGCGTGGGGTCGGAGTCAGGCCTCCCTCTGCCATCCCTAAGCTGGCATCATTCACATACTTGATGGCATTCAACTCTTGGCCATCCAGATGCCTCTGCCTTGTCCTGTCCCTCTCCTCTGAATACTACTGAGTGCCCTTCCCCTACCTCTCTGGCTTGAATCTGTCACTGACCACCTGGGCTCCTGTTTGATCCCATTTAATGCAATCTAGGAGCTATGTACCTATTCCGTCTCTCTCTGGCCGATCCGAAAATGTGAAACCCCACCAAGTCGAGTACCATCTTATGTCCCTGTTCTTGAGGACAGTCACTTCTCCCCAAATATAGGAGGAAGAAGTTGGGCAGATGGCCTCTCAGAGTGTGCTTCAGTTCCCAGTCTGTGGCTTAAACCTAGAATGTGCCCTTATTTCCTCAGTACTTAGCCCCCCTCACTTCCTCGGGAAGAGAAGAAATATTGCCGCGTGCTTCATCCACGTGCCACATGGTTCTCGGTTTGAGAAGCACGAGAACGCGTGTTTTAGGAAGTTGATGAAGTGAAACACTGTGCTGTGGCTCACAGACTCATGGGCCTGAAAATAACTCAAGAATGCGTGGAGCCAGGTGTGGTGGCCACGCCTGGAGGTCCAGACATGTCAAGACCCTTTCTCAAATGATGAAGACAGTTTATTGTGTGTAAAAGGGAAAAAGTATTCGCACAATTTGATCTTACTGCCGTGTACATCTACGCATGTGGTATCATTATACATACAACATGACTGTGATAATTGTTCCCAGCAGGTTATTCTATAAGCGCTCAGAGAGAAAATCTCCCACGGATAGAATATAGAACATGTGTGTACTTTGAAACATTTGTTTTTACTTTTGTGTATGAATGTTTTCCTGCATGCGTGTCTGTGTACCATGTGCATGCAGTGCCTGAAGAGACCAGTAGAGGGCACTGTATCCCCTGGAATTGGAGTGAACCACCACGTGGGTTCTGGGAATCAAACCTGGGTCTCCTAGAAAAGAAGCCAGTGCTTTTAAGTGCTAAGCCATCTCTCCTGTACGGGGTGTGTGTATATATTGGGGAGTCTTTTTTTTTTTTTTTTTTCTTTTTTAGAGTCTTATGTAGCCTAGTCTAGCTTCAAACTAGTATGTAGTCTTGAATAAAGATGGCCTTGAAGACTTCTGATTCTCCTGCTTCACCTCCCCAGTGCCAGCTGGGGTGTTATTTTTGAATCTTTTCCTGTGAGAAATTTTTTAAAAAGTTTATGTTGTCTTTTTTTTTGAAATAGGGAAAGACCTAAAGCATTTTTATTTTTTATTGTTAGTCTTTTGGGAGTAGAAACTTCTGTTACAAAGATTTGAGTTAATTGGGCTTAAAATGTTGTCTTCATTGACTCAAAATGATAACTTAAAACAAGTGTGGTGGTGCATGCTTGTAATCCCAGCACTACAGGCAGAGGCAGGAGGCGTGCAGGTTTGAGGTTAGTTTGATCTACACATAGATCCTGTCTTTAAAAAACAAAACAAACAAAACAAAAAAACAAAAAAAAAGAATTAAACAACAACAAAAAATCCCTAACTACTTCCAACAGAGGCGCTCTTCTCAAATCTCATACTGTCCCTGGTGACGGTGCTTGGAATGACTGTCAAGGTTTTACTTCCACCCAGCTGTTTTGGAGACTCAAACCTACTTACTGGTTTGCTTGGCTTTAAATAAACTTTTCATTTTGGAATAATTTTTGGATGTACAGAATTTTTTTTCAAAATTAGTACAAATTTCCCATTTGCCCTTTTTTGCCCAGCTGCCTCTGTTCGTAACTTACATAACAGGCTACATTTAGCAAAGCTCAGAAATGAACCCAGTACATTTCTACCAGCTGGACTCCAGGCTCTGTTTGGATCTCAGCAGTTTCCCACCAGCTGGATTTGGTCCAGGACAGCACACTGCACTCTGAAACATTCTTTAAAGAACGAGTGTACACCAACTGTAACACCACAAATTGCCATTTACATTTTGTGGGGATGTCTGTATATTTCTAAGGAAAAGCAAAGTGCTTCTGAGTTTATCTTCTCTTCTTTCCACCATAAAGTTGTGGCGCTTTCTCAGCCCCTGCTTTATAGCAGTTTAGTAACTCATACCTATTCTAATGAATTTTTTCTACTTACGTTTCCCCCTTAAGAATGTTATTTTAAAAATGGATGGGGCCAAGTGCCCTCTTCCCAGAAGCCCCAGCCAACTGGCTGGGGCGTATCTGTGCTATTCATTTGCTTCTAAATGTTTCCTCTCCACTTAGAGACAGAAAAGCCAACAAAACAAACAAACAAACAAACAAAAAACAGGAGAACGCCAGCAGAGAGAAGACAGGGAAGGATAGGATGGGACAAACATGAGCAAGAACAGTGTTATATATATGTTTTCCAACTTAAAAAGGAAGGTGCATGGTAGCCAGTCATAATGATACGTAGGCAGAGGCAGGAGGATGACATGCTTCATGCCAGCCTCTGCTACACACTGAGAGCCTATTACACTGAGGGCCTGATTAATTGATTGAAAATAAAAAGAGGAATGGCAGCTGGGGTTGCAGTTCTGGTAGAATTAATGCTTAGGCCAGGTTTGGTGTATCACACCTTAAATCCCAGCTCTTAAGACTGCCACATGTTCAAGGCCAGCCTGAGCCATAATAGGAGACCTTATCTCAAAAGAGAAAAAAAGAAAAGAGAAAAAGAAAGAAAGAAATTCAGGCTTAGCATGCATGAGGCCCCAGGTTTCAGGATAAGCGCCCCCTCCGTGCAAAACAAGATGACAGTTAAGGATTCTGCACAGAGGTTAGCTGGGGCTACATGGAGATTACAATTACAATTGGGATTCACCTATGGAAGCATTCTAAGTTATTTGCAAATAAAATGATTTACTTTCAAATGCCACATTAGAAGATAAGGAGCTGGCTGTCTCGCTGGTCTTCATTATTTCCTCGCCTTTGTGTGTGACTAAAAACCCTCTCATTAAAGCTTCTAACATTGAAATCGATGAACAAGGCAGGCAAGTCATCACTTGCTGGTAGTCTAGCATTTGGGAGAAGGATCAAGGCCAGCCTCAGCTATGCAGGAGACCCAGTCTCAAAAAACAAATACACAAAAGATTTGAACAGTAGAAGCTTTGTTTTCATGTGCCAATAACCTTACCATCCAGTGGCTGCTAAGTTGCTTAATAGACATCCATGGATAGGCTATTGGCATAGATTCCTAGCTCTTGTGTCAGAAACACAAGTCTCCTGGGCAGCGAATGAAGAGCTGGAGGAACAAGCAGACAGTCTGCACTTCTCCTCCAGAATCTAGGGGCTGGCGTACTTGAGGCTTGGAGTGGAACCAACCATGCAGTAAACCTGAGTCAAAACCATGTCAGCTGCTTGGCAAACCCCACAGGTGGAGATTTTATTTGCACCTCTTTCTTGGTTTTATGAGTTTTCATTGGATCATCTCAGCTATGTGGTTAATAAATAGAAGACTTACTGTTATTATTACTATTATTAGAACTACTACTACCACTCGTAATTTCTAATTATAGTAATTGTGAAGTATCTTAGAGTCATTTCTCCCAGAACCCTGCTCTGCATAACCATGGTGGGTTTGTTTTATTTTATTTTATTTTGATCAATTATCTAACTTACTAAATTATTCATGCTGCTAATAGCGACTGCCTTCCTGCTTGCTAGAATGTGGAGCTGACCCCACCCCCACCCCACCCAGCCATCCAAGGCTCACTGAGCACAGGGACTGACTCTGAGCTTTCCTCTGTGGCCCTGGGTGACTTCTGTCCAACACTCTGTCTCTCTTTTTTATCCTACAGCAGAAGTATTGGGAAGCCCTAAACTCGGAGCAGGTATGGACAAGTGTTTGATCTCTTTTGGGAAGGACTTCCATGGCTTGATTTTCCATTTCTGTTTTGACCCCTATTTGATGGAGGACAAGACGGTTTGGTTTTTTTTTTGTTGTTGTTGTTTTGTTTTTTTAGTTAGTTAAAAGAAAAGAATGTGAGCTAGAGATGCAGTTCAGTGGAGAGATTGCCCACTACAGCCTACTCCCAGCACTGTAAAGCAGATACGTAAGAAATAAGAATGGTCAGGAGGCAAGTCTGGGTACATTTGGGGTGCACTGTTTTCCAGGTCTTTTCTGCACTGGGAAGCATTCAGAACCAATTGGCTCAACTTGGAAAAAACTCAGTGTAACCCAGTGAAGAAACAGTCTGTCAGGGTCTATGAGCCCTGGAGTAGCTGCAGGTCATGAATGGTATTTGGGGTGTGGCAGCAGGAGTTGTGAGAAACAGCCTGGAACGTTGGCCGTTGTCTTTCTGAGACCTCAAGCAGCTGGCAGTCTCCTCACTTGCAATAATAGATAAGCATATTTTGTGACAGTTACCTGTGCCTGTCATCACCCAGGACTGTTGTGACACAAAAATACATCATCTCTCACACAAATTAGTTTTATGGCTAATTTAGGAAATTTCTTCCTTCTTTTCTTTCTCTTTCTCTCTGTCTCTGTCTCTCTCTCTCTTTCTTTCTTTTCTGTGTGTGTTTTGTTTTGAGACAGGGTTTCTCCGTGTAGCCCTGGCAGTCCTGGAACTCACTCTGTAGGCCAGGCTGGCCTAGAACTCCTGCCTCTGCCTTCTGAATGCTGATGTGCGTCATTACTGCAGGTTTTATGCCTTCTTTCTAATTATGTTTTTTTTAATTGCTCAGAGCATCTCAGCATATTATCCTATAGATTCCACACTGTCCTATAGATTCCACACTGTCCTATAGATTCCACACTGTCCTATAGATCTCACACTGTCCTGTAGGCCTCAGCACATTATCCTGTAGACTCTGAAGACAGACACTTGCATGCCTTCTAAGATGCAATCTAAAGGGTTCACCTGCTCAAAGTGCCAGACTCTTCCTGTTCACGGGCAGGTGACTCCATCAGGGTTAGCAATAATAACTTACAAAGCATTCAAGGAGTTGTAACAGTGGCTTTCAAACATCAGAGCATCTAAGAAATACTGTAGTGACTTGTTAAGATGTCAAACAGTGGGGCTGGAGAGATGGCTCAGTGGTTAAAAGCCACTGACTGCTCTTCCAAAGGATCTGGGTTCAATTCCCAACACCCATATGGCAGTTCACACTGCCTGTAACTCCATGATCTAACACCTTCACACAAACATACATGCAGGCAAGACACCAATGCATATAAAAATAAGTAAGTTTTTAAAAATAAAAAAAAAGATGCTAAACCATGTGTCTCACCCCACCAGCAGTGGCTGAAGAGCCCCCAGCGTCAGCCCAGTGACTACTGGCTGTATGAACCAAGTTACCTCAGTGCCAAGTCTGCAGAGTCACTGGTCTGCAGTGATCTTTTTAACATGGTGTGTGTGTGTGTGTGTGTGTGTGTGTAGGGTGGTACAGAATGTCATGCACTCATGGAGGCCAAAGGAGAACATCCTCATTTATTACTCTCCACCTCATATAGGTGGAAAGAGTCTTTGAATAAGGGGGTAGGACCTCTCTGTAAACCTAAACCTTGTGATTTTCAGCTACACTTGCAGGCAACAAGCCCCAGCAATCCTCCTGTCGCTACCCCTCACATCACTGGGGTTACTGGGTTCCCAACTCAGGTCCTTGTGGTTATACAAAAAGCACTTTTAACCACTGAGCCATCTCTCAACCCATAGTGGGGTTTTTAATCGCCAAGTAGAACTTGGTTTGATTATATGGGAGAATCATTAATTGAATTAGGTTCTTTATTCAAAACAAAGCTGAAATTTGTGTTTTAGAGCTGATATGCTATGGGCATTAGATGAAACCCTTTGTGGTTTTTTGTTGGACTTCTCAGAACTGAGCTGTGACACAGGTGATGATGTAGTATCTTTTTCTGAGTGCATGTGTGTGGCTGGGTCTATGATCCTGCCCAAATAGATCTTTCAGCCTAAGCTGACATAGCTCCCATGACCATTGCTTGTTTCCGTGTTTTTGTTTTTTGGTTGGTTGGTTGGTTTTATTTGTTGTTTTGGTTTGCTTGTTTATTATTTTGGTTTTTGCTTGGTTATGGTGTTGGTTTTTCAAGGCAGGGTTTCTCTGTGTAGCCCTGGCTGTCCTGGAACTCACTCTGTAGGCCAGGCTGGCCTCGAACTCACTGAGATTCATCTGCTTCTTCCTCCTGAGTGCTGGGATTAAAGGTGTGGGCCACCACCGCTTGGCTTTGTTTTGTATTTTTATGACAGGCTTTCACTGTATAGTCCCGATTGTCCTGTAACTCTCCATATAGACTCTCCATCTATGTAGGCTGGCCTCAAACACGCAGAAATTTGCCTGCCTCTGCCATGCTGGAATAAAAGGGGTGTGATACCATGCCCAGTGATAAAATTCTTCATCTTCAATCACATGCAGGATTCGCTCTCTGCTTTGACATCTTTAAAGAGTATTTTGCGGATAACTCCATCTATACTTACAGGCCTGTTTCTAATCCCTCCTCTCAAGCCTTTTCCAACTTGAAGTTGCCATTCTTATTGGTGTTGGTGATGGCAGTATCCATCATGCTGAACTGGCTTTTTAAAAATTGTGTGTGTGAGAGAGACAGCTCACATGTGGAGATCAGAGAACAGCATACAGGAATCAGTTCTCTCCCTCCTTCATGTGGGCTTCAGGGATCAAACCCATACTGCCGGACTTGGCAGCAATCACCTTTTACCCATTGAACCATCTGTTTTTGTTTTATGTGTATGGAAAATTTTTGCCTGCATGTGTGCCTGTGTACCACATGCTCGCAGTGCCAAAGGAGCCAGAAAAAGGGATCAGATCCTCTAGAATTAGAATTACAGATAGTTGTGAATTGCCATGTAGGTGCTAGGAACCAGACCTCTGGAAGACCAGCCAGTGCTATTACCACTGAGCCATCTCATTGGCCTTGAGCTGGCCTTTAAGAGTTCACTTTAGACATCCACTGAGCCTGGAGATGAGAGGAAAGACTACTTGGGGCCAAAGACCCAGCTGTGCTCTGCTCTTTAGGAACTTGCCATCTCCAGGAGGGCCAGGTAGATGTCCAAGGAGAGACTAGAGCTGTCCATGTGTGGATGCAAATGAGCTGTGGGGGCAATACCAAGTCAGGGGTGGGAGCTCACTGGACTAAAGCTTCAGAGAACAACAACAGAGGAGCTGTTCCCTTGGGCTGGAAAGAGAGTTGAGTTTATCTGCTCTTTTCTAGGAGTCTTACACATCAAGATTTTGAGCAAGGCTTGGTGAGGGAGGGATTGGAGGAGATGGAAAGGGAGGCAGGGCTAGTTTTCTCAGGGCGGCTACTCTTTCATTCCTTGAATTAAAGCTACACTGTGTGGGGGTGGTGAGGCCAGTGTGGGGACAGGAGATATAACTCAGTGGTGGAACACTTGCCTAGCATGCTCAAGGCCTGGCTTCCACCCCCAACACCACTAAATTAATAAAGCTATATTCTCTCTAGATCCTAGAACACAGGCCTGTGCTTACTAGCTTGTGCTTACTGACTTTCCCTTGTCTTTGCTTGGGTCACGAGACCCAGGATTGGGCTGTCATCTGGGGGTGGCTGGGCTGAATTGTTGGAAAGGATCTGTCACACCAAGTTATCTTTTCTGTCTTTTTCCACAGTGGGACCCCGAAGATGTCAACCTGGAAAGGAACAAGAACAACGTGGAGAGCCTGAGATCACAGATGCACAAGGGCTCTTTGAGCCCGGTGGACTTGACCTCAGACAACTGACATCACTAGGAGACAGTCTATCAGCTCAGAACTCAAGCTCAAGCATCTGCCAGTGACCAGATGGGAACCAACCTACAGTGCCACCCACAGCAGAAATGGAAGCTGCTGCAGAAGCTCCCCAAGGAGTGTGGGATATGGAACTGTCACTTAGCTTGGCTAGTCTACCCCATGGCTCAGAATGGAGCTAAGGCTGTGGGGCCTGTGGACAGATCTGCACATGGCAAGTTTCCTCTGGTGATGAGAAATTTATACGTGAATCCTGTTTGTAAAGATAAGCTTTCTCCCAAAAGACATGGGATCTATTCCCATGAGATTCGAGCATAAATATTGTTCACTTAATAAGAGGATCAACTCACCAAGAGTGAGTTCCAAGATTTGCATCTCCACATGATGCATTCTTCAAGAATCAGCTAAGGCCAGATGAAAGAGTGGGCCCACCAGCAAGGGACCTGGGCACACACACAGGAACTGGCCTCTGCTGTCCAGTCACTGACATACCTGCCACACGTTACGTGGGGCTGCCTGTTCAACCGAATATTTGGAAGATCACTGGCAGGGCAAGGGCAAGCGTTACCCGATCTTGGTAACAGGATTCCCTCCAGCTTAACAAAGTCTGTGCTGGGGCTGGGTTTGCACATTATGGGGCCTTCTGTGCGTTAGGGATAACAGAAGCATGCAAGGGATAAGGGCACGGTGCGAAAGTGCAGTTTCAAGCGTGGCAAGGGTGTTTGAGGATGATTTTGATACTGTGACCACGAGTGAGGGGAAGAATAAAGGGAATAGGGCAAGGCAGGAGCAAACACTTGAGTGAATAAATCTTGGTTGAATGGATTAAAATATCTCACAGTGGAGTACAGGAATAAGTCTGAATCCTAGTACACAAGTCGGCCACGAGAGGAACTGGGAGAAGTGCCAAGAAGCACAGCTCTGCTCCCAGCTGGCCCGTGACCACCTATGACTCAGCTGCCGCTGCTGCCCCGTTTCTCCTGAGGGGCGGTGCAAGTCTCAACAGCGTGAAGAACCGGTACCAGTGGAAGCTGGTTGGTTGTGCAGGTTTCTGCATAGAGCCTCGTTCCCTGGCGACCTAAAATTCAAAGCTACTTTATCTGCTTTGAGTCCTTCGTTCTCTTGTGAGGGAGCTTGCTGGAGTCAGCTTTGCTCACGGAAACCACTTTGAGGAAAGAGGACCACTGGGCATGGGATGGAGTGGAACATTCCAGCCCAGAGCACAGCAAACTAGAGGCAGGGAAGGCTGCGGTCCAGCCAAGGAAGGAGAAACCTGACTGGGCCCACGTAGTTTAGAAAGGAGAGAGCTGGAAAAGAACCAGGCTATGGAGACTAGGGAGTTAGTACTGATGCTGTAGCCACACAAGACACCAAAACAGGAAGGTTTTGCTCAGGTAGGCTACAGTTAATGTCTCCAGCCCCAATTAGTGCATTTCTTATCCCACACTTTTCATGAAGCAGAAATGTAGTCATGGGCACAGAGTAAACATGAGACACATGCTTAAAGTATATTCCTTTGAAAAACAGAAAAAAGGCCAGGCGTTGGTGGTACACGCCTTAAATCCCAGCACTCGGGAGGCAGAGGCAGGTGGATCTCTGTGAGTTCGAGACCAGCCTGGTCTCCAGAGTGAGTGCCAGGATAGGCTCCAAAGCTACACAGAGAAACCCCGTCTCTAAAAAACAAAAAATAAATAAAAATAAAAACCAGAAAAATCAGGGACTGTAAGAGGCCAAGATAACCTCAAAACCATGTGACCCTCCTACCCCAGTTTTCCAAGTGCTGGGATCACAGGTGGAGCCACCATGCCCAGTCTTGTACTTTATAGATAAGGAAACATGCCCAAAACAGTAACAGTAACCAAAGCATCAGCCCCACAAGTAGAAGTGGCCATAATAATGACAGTGAAGGCCCTGCTTAAACTCCTGGAGTCCAGGTATGCTATCTGCCCTGAAATCTGTCTGATTTAGGGGGTGCTCTGATTACTAAGTTCTCCTAACAGCTTGCCTGGAGGGCCGTGGCTCAGGCGGGTGAATGCCTTCCTAGCATGCACAGGGCCCTGGCTTGTCTCTAGTACAGCATACAGGACATATAGTGAATGATACACACCTGGAATTGAGAGGCAGAAGCCGCAGGATTAGAAATTCAAGGTCATCTATCTTTAGCTACACAGCAAAGGTTAGTGTGGGACATAGGAGACCTTGTCTCAAGAGAAGAAAACAAAATAGTATAGGTCTTGCAGAACTAACCACTTTAAACCCATCCAGGAGTCACTCCAGAAAGAGGTGTGTGAGGACAAGGACCATCTGATGATATGTGCATGTCTGTTTCCAAGAGAACTGAGTCACTAGTCTAAGGAGGCACTGGGCACAAGAGCCTATTCCCAGGGCCAGTCTCCTATTCCCAGGTCTGAGGCAGTATGCTGTCAGTCCTCTTTCTGGCTCAGTTTCCCCATCTGTAACATGAAAGGCCAAGCATATCTCACACTTGTTAATCCCACACTTGAGAAGTTGAGACAAGAGGACTTCCACAAGTTCAAGGTCAATCTAGCAATCAAGACCCTGTTTCAAAAGACCAACAAATCAGACAGGGTGTGGTGGTGCAGTTAATCCCCGTACCCAGAAGATGAAGGCAGGAGGATCTCTGTGAGTTCAAGCCCAGCTTGGTTTAGACATTAGAGTTCCAGGACAGCCAGGGCAACATAGTGAGACCTACCCTAAAACCAAACCAAACAACCAACCGTCACTGACCTGGGGATACAACTACAGCTTGCCTAGCATGCTTGGGGCCTTGGGTTCCATCCATGAATAGAAGTTTTTCTTCCTTTTTTCTTTCATGAATATGCCAGTCAGCGTTTCATATGTAAGACTGACGTCTTTACAAACACTCAGAAATCTTATATGAAGGTAGGTTCCATATACGCCTTGAAAACAGCTATCATTACATAGGGTATACTTCTGCTTCAATTTACTATTTTTTTTGTGTGTATGTATGTTGCACCTGCACCAAGGAGCATGTGTGGAGGTCAGAGTGACCACCTGCAGGTGCCAGCTCTCTCCACCGTGTGGGTTCTGGGACTTGAATCGGGGTTTCAGTTTTAGCAGCAAGCAGCTTTACAAGCTATACCCCATCCCCCACCCCCCACCGCCTGGCTTAAATTTCACTACCCACTTAAGATAAATACTAGGGCTAAGATGTAACTGAGTGGTATAGTAAGTGCTTGGTGTGAGGGAGTCCCTGGGTTCGATTTCTAGCATCAAAAATGGTCAAAACCTTCACAATGCTTCCAAGTTCTCTGCACATCTCCCTCCTGCCCCTCACGTTTTTTTGCAGCTTGTGCACTTTGACCTGTACTCTTCCACTCGTCCTTTCTGAAGTTCAAAGGCAATGCATGGGCAGAGGGGGCTCTGCTTCAAACAAACAAACAAACAAACAAACAAACAAAAAGAAACCAGGTACACTGTAGTGTTCAAGAACTCTTTTAATTAGTGAGAGACTGTCTCTGACAAGTTCAAGACCGGTGCTAGAGCAAATGACACAGAGAACGCCTAATATGAGCAAGGGACTGGTGGCACTGGCCTGTAATCTCAGTTATTCCAGGCCAAGACAGGAGGGTGGCAAGATCTCCAAGCTCCAGGCTAGCCTGGGTAATTTTGCAAAATCCAGTCTCCAAGGTGAAAGGGATTTTTTTTTTTTTAAATTAAACGAGGGGGAGCCCAGAGGCAAAGCACGTGCCTAAAACACGCTATGGCTCTGGTTTCAATGCCCAGTGCCGAAGAACGTTTAATCTGCCTTTTCTTTGCCTAAATCTGGCAGCCGAACATGGCACTGGGCATTTGAAACTGCTGCTTTCGAGCAGGGTAGGTCGTTCGGGAACCCTGCCGGCGGCTGCCAGTGTGGGAGGAGGAGGCCGGGGCGTTTCTTCTTCGTATTCCCCGGGGTCTACAAGGCTCACCCTCGACGGCCCTCGCGCAAGCAGTGTCCCCTGGCAGCGGGACCGCACAGAGCAGAACTGAACCAGGATAACAGCCCCAGTTGGGGCCATTTGCTCCACCGAGGGGCATTTCCGGGAAGGAAGGAAACGCAGGACCCGCGCGTGCGCACCGCACCCTGCTGCCACAACCTCAGCGAGCAGACTTCTCCCATTGGGCTCTTGTCCTTTGCCAGGGCGTCAATGGTTTAAAAGTCTTTCCCCATTGAGTTTTTAAAAGACAGTTACAAGACCGTTCTGTCGTGCATTTGCGACTGTCCTGCCTGAAGCTGCAAACCATTCTACCTAAGTAATCCAACTTTTTAAAAAACAAAAGCGCAGGTGCATGATTTAACAAAAGAAAAGCAGATGGTGCCAAAGTTTATTAGGAAAACAGCTCTCTGATCGCAAGTCTCCAACAGCCCTACTTTCATCTTCCGCTGGGTGTTTTGTTTTGCCGCCAGAAACAAGACATTCTACCCGATCTTTGAACAAGGTCAGAGTTGATTGCGTAACAGTAAGTTCAAAAGTCTAGATTTTCCTTGGTAGCAGACAACTAGCAAGCACAAGTTCTTTTATTTTGATCTTAATTATTTAATACTAACTCTCAGATCACACACTGCACACCACCATGTAATTGGACATCTATTGCGTGCATGGGATACAGAATAGCTACGAAGTGTTAAAGGGGCGGCAGAGTCAGGGGCTTGCTGGAGGCAGGTGCAGAGAGCTGGTGCCGATGCAGATTACAGCAGGTGGTAGACAGATACCAACAAACACAGTCTGAACATTGTGCTAAAGGCAGAGAGCCAAGCCACAGGGTCACGATGGTCCAGCCTAACTGCAGAAGCTCAGGATTATGGAGGCGAGATGGATGACCGAATTTGGACAAATGGACAGACAATGCAACTCCAGTAGTGGAGACTGAGCTAAACTGAAACCCTGGAGACAGTAGAAAAGTAGGTGGGGTCATTGGTATTGCCCTGTTAGGTGTCCTTTCTATGTGATCTAGGTGAGGGTTTAGTTTTGATAAGTTATTGGGTCTGGTTTTACCGATAAGGGTTTAATTACACCCGTGTGTTCTTCTGTTCCTAACATACTTTAAAAAATGTGTAAGTGATACATTTTTACTTTTGGGCATATGTTCTTAATAAGTCTGGCCCTCATGGGTGTTGCTGGACTCATGATGGTGTCTTCATGTACAAGGTACACACTCACCCTGTCTCTGAATATGCACTCATACAATGGAGCCAAAGGATGCTTGAAAAATGGAGTTACATAAGGCAAGGCACAGCCTGAAAGCCGCTGTTTCTAACACCGAGGGATGGTCTAGAGCAAGGCACAGCATGGTCTCCACTCTTGTACCTTCTAAGCAAGCACATCACCACTTAGTTTTATCCCCAGACTCCAAGCTGCTTTCCAGATACAAGTGCCAAGATTTTAACTTTCTTAACTAGATCATCTCCAGCTCCCACTGAACACCGGCTCAAGAGTCAGTAGTTAGGCAGGGACACTGGCAGATCAAGAAATGGAAACCACTATAGTCACTGTGGAGCCTTCCCACCAGACCTCTTGGGTATTCCCTAGCTAGAACCTGGCTTCTGAGTTACCAGGTCATGTGGACCTGAGCCCTCTCTAACTACATGCAAACAAAACACTCATATACACAAAAGTAAATAAATCTTCAAATTTTTAAAATAAAAAGCAAAAAGTAAAAACTATTCAATACAATGTCAAGTAACAGAAGTCGAACACAAGAGAGCATGCAGCATCACTGGCAATTATAATCACGGATTCATGTAGTTGTGGTTTCTAGGCTGTAGGAGCACCTATATAATTTTAAAAAAATATAGCTCCCCAGGTTAGGGGTGTAGCTCATGGGTTGCCTAGCCTGTGTTCCACCCACCCTTGCCACAAAATGTCTCCCAGTAAAATTCCTTGGTCTTCAAAGTTTGTAGCACAAATACCTTCTATTCTATTTCAAGAGAAGCCCTTGGGCTCAAGCAGATGCTGTAGTTCAGCTCATTGCCCATCATGTCTTATAAGACTCAAGAAAGAAAATAGAAGATCCGGTAGAAACGATTCCCAAACTGGAGACAAGTGCCAGAGAGAGCCCCTGGGAAACAACAGCTAAGTTGCTATTTAAAACCATGGCGAGGTGGGGAGAAGAACAATAGAGGAGACTCAAAAGACAGAAACATTCTATTGCCTTGTGTTTGTTTGTTTTGCTTTTTCAGACAAGGTCTCTTTACATAGCTGTCCTACGTTGACCAGGCTGGCCTCAAAGTCACCTTCATCTGCCTCCTGAGTGCTGGCATTAGAGGCAGGCATAGCCACACCTGGCTCTTCCTAGAGATGGATTTTTTTTTTCCAAATAAGTTGTAGATTTAAAGAAAGGCTCTCAGGCCTGGCGGTGGTGGCACATGCCTTTAATCCCAGCACTTGGGAGACAGAGGCAGGTGGATTTCTGTGAGTTTGAGACCAGCCTGGTCTACAAGAGCTAGTTCCAGGACAGCCTCCAAAGCCCCAGAGAAACCCTGTCTCAAACCCCCCTCTCCCCCAAAAAAGAAAGGCTCTCAGTGCTGGTCCGGTCTGAGAAGGCTCTCTGGGACATCAGTCACATTTGCCAGCAAGTCCCTAAAGTCCTCAGGCTCTGTGAATGGAATAGATGGCCAGGGGCCACTTTTTAGCATCTTCCTAGGCGTGGCTGGGTGCCAAGCAAAGCAATACTCTCTGGCCAGGATGGGTAGACAGATTCCAGTTGGTCTGGCCCTGAGAAAATAGCAGGCCCTGTGACTTAGATGGGGTGCCTGGTGCGAGTCTGATAAGGTGCCTCTGTGGCTGGAGGAATGGGGGTGCACTGGGCTCAGAAAGCAGGACAAACGGAAAGCCTGGAGCGTCCAGACAAGGAAATTCTCTGCCTGAATTGCCTTTTCCTATTGAGATAAGATAATATACAATAAAACACAGGGCTATGAAGTGCTGCCTACACGCCCAGCATAGCAGCCAGCATTCAGGCCTGGCTGAGGCATGAGATTGTCTTGGGGGGGGGGTCTCCTCCTGGCTCTGGCTTGCTACACAAAAGACAGTCATTGACATTAGACCCAGAAGGCACGTCCTGACTCCTACAGCTCACCAGTTGTGGGATTCTGATCCTTTTCTTTCTTTTTTTTTTTTTTTTTTTTTTTTTTTTTTTGGCAGAGTCTTACAGTGTAGCACAGGCTGACTTCAAATTCACTGTGTACCCCCAGGCTGGTCTTGAACTCTTGATCCTCCGGTCTCAGCCTTCCCATTACTGGGATTATAGGTGTGAGCCACTGGGCCTAGCTGTCGTGGTTGTTGTTGGTTTTTTGTTTTTGTTTTTTTTTTTCAGTTTTTTCAAGACAGGGTTTCCCTATGTAGCTTTGGAGCCTATCCTGGCACTCGCTCTGGAGACCAGGCTGGCCTCGAACTCACAAAGATCTGCCTGCCTCTGCCTCCCGAGTGCTGGGATTAAAGGCGTGCGCCACAATGCCCGGCCCTAGCTGTTATTATGATTAACCTCACATATATGTCCACCTCTTCTGCCTGCTAGGAAATTAAAGACTCCTAAGGAGCCATGACAGAGCTCTTCAAGCTCCAACACATCATGAAGAGAGATCAGCTGTGTCGCCTTATAGCACAAAGGATTTCATTTATATAGGTTTCCCCATTTTCAGGACCAGATACACTTCTCCTTCAAACTCACCCCGATGTCTTTTAATGCCTGGGCATACTTTAATTACTCAGCTGTGTGTACGATTAAAGTTGTGAGCAGGCAAGACTGAAAAGACTTGGAAATATGTGACTGCAGTAGCAGAGTGTGTCACCCTGTTCATAGAGCCTTAGGCAGGAAGTAGATCCCGGTAGGAATCTAGTGACTCACCTATTGTCCCAAGTGAGTCAGTGTCCCAGGAGGGCCAGTGCAGGCAGCTGCCAGAGAAGATGGAAGGCAAGGTCTAGGTTTGGACTGGATCAGTGGCTCTTCTTGTCACTGTGACCAAATAACCAAAAGAGGGGACTTGAAAGAAGGAGAAGGGAAGGCAAGGGAGCAGGAGTATGTTCACATTTCTGCCACAGTCGGGAAGCCCAGAGACATAAATGCTGGGCTCCACTCAGTTTCTCCTTTTTATTTAGTCCAAGACTCCAGTCCACAGGGATGGAGGCAACCACATTCAGGGAAGGTCTTCCCTACTCAGTTAGACCTTTCTAGAAACACCCTCCCAGACTCTCCCTGAGGTGCATTGCCACAGCGATTCTAAATCCAGTCAAGCTGACGTTGAATAGCCATCTGAGATGTTGGCCTTAATGGCTGCACCAGGGAGGCGGAGCAGATCCAACCGAACACAGAGAGAACGGATGCCCTATGACTGCTTGGAGAGTGCCCTACCCCTGAGCTGCACCCCAGCTCTGTTTATTACCTTCCTTAGTTTCCTCAGCTGTAAAGTGAGATAATTAGTATCTTCAGGTCACACAGGGTTGTGAGACAAGAAATGTTTCTAAGTAAAACGGTAATTTCACCTTTCTCTGGACTCACAGTTCCCAGGAGACAGGCCAGTGCTTCAGCTGGCTCTCTTGGTGCAGAACAAAGGTCGCATTCTCTCAAGAGACTGGCATTAAGTTAGGCTTCACTAGCTGTCCTATGAATGGGGTCACATTTCTGCTCCCTTGCCTAACTTATCCCTTCATCTTCTTTGGTCTTCCCTTCCTGTATATTCACTCAGCTAATGCTTTCTGAGGGCTTAGTGTGTGCAGGCCACTCTGCATCTGGGAAGAGTATAAAAAACACCCTGTCCTGCCCTGTGTTGACTGGAGAAGAGAATACGGTGCCTCGGGGAAAGGTTGGGAGGTATTTCTGCTGCTAGAGTTTTTCTAATGCTAGAGCAGGGAGGCATTTACCAAGGATACGACCTTTGAGTCTAGCTTGGAAGAGCTAATCATGATCTCCCGAGGTGGGGGAAGGTCAAGAGCACAGAGCACATGGGCGTACATATCTTGCCCATGGATGACTACAATTGCCTGTCCCCTTATGACAGAAAGGCAGTTTCAGGCATGCACTGCCAGAAGCTTCTCACTAAGCAGGAGGATTTAAAAACCAGACAGTTCCTGGAAACAGGCCCGCCTGTTATTTCTGGGTTGTGACCATGACTAAATTAAGGTAACAGTCCCCCACCCTGACTGTGCTTCAGGATTACCTGTGGTTTGGGTTCGGTTTGGATTTCATTCACATTTCCTGGCCCCACCCTTCATGTATTTAGTGACTGGGTCTGGGACCCCATAACTGCATTCAGCTTTTGCAGATTTTGAGAGCAGAAATATTGCTTCATACTTGTTTTTCTGGGTCCACACTAGAGACTGAACATGGGCCAGTGTGGTGGTACTTGCCTGTAATCCCAGCTCTCAGTAGATGGAGACAGGAGGGTCAGAGGTTCAAGGCCAGACTGCTACATAGCAAGCCCCCTGCACTAATATTTGTAGTAAATGAATACGAGTCACTTAAAATATATCTATTGACAAGAAAGTGTATACCTCCAAACACAATGCATCAACAAATAAATACGAACAACCAAAAGGCACATAGTAAGGGTTAGTAAGGACATACAAAGTACTACACAGTAAGTAAATAATAAGAAGACACCAGTACTGGGTAAAACCAAGAAATACTAGTCGTCACCTCTGCTGTGACTGCTTAATGCCTCCAGGTGTCACTGTCGGACACTGGTCCTCCTATGTCTTCAGCTGGCTCCAAGGAGGCTTTTCATAGCAGGAGGTCGGGGCAGCTTTCACCTTTGCTGACCTTGGCTCACTCTTGAGTGATACAGCAGTTCACCTGTAGAGGCTCCGCCCAGTGCACCTGCTGGTTGGGAATATCTGGTTCAAGTCCTGTCCTGCTGTCTGAGCCACACCTCCCCCCTCCATGCTTCTCTTCCCCAGAGGGGTTGCAGCTTTGCTTTGATTCCACCTTTGGGTGGAACTAATAGCCATTTTCTCAGGCAGAAGGCTCTACTTGGTGGCTCCCATTATCCTCTAGATCAGTGGTTCTCAACCCTCCCAAGGCTGCAACCCTTTAATGCTGTTCCTCAACCTTCCTAAGGCTGCAACCCGTTAATACACTTCCTCATGTGTGGTGGCCCCAACCATAAAATTATTTTCCTTGCTATGTCATAACTGTAATTTTGCTGTTATAAATCATAATGTAAATATCTGTGTTTTCCGATGATCCTAGGTGACCCCTGTGAAATGGTTCTCCCCTACACCCAAAAGGGTCACAACCACTGCTCTCTCTAAAGCAGCGGTTCAGGACTATCAACACCTATACTCCTAGCGAAGCCAATGCCGGGGATCCCAAGACAGGTATCTGTTTCCTTAAGGAAGGAGAAAAATCCCCACATGCTTAAAATCTCTGCTTGGAAACCATACGATGTGTGGATTGTCCAAAACCTCCATGCAGCCAAGAAAAAGGATCGGTGGGTCAGGAAGCTTGAACCGTATTGGTTGTTGTAGGTCACCTGTAGAGATGGGAGACTTTGTGCTTATTCATATGAGGCTGCAGACACAATGGAACTACATCAAAGACGTGCTGAGACAGTTCTCAGATGGCCTGCTGACTGCATCCCCTGGGCAGCAGAGTCTCTGCAGGTGTCACACTCACAGCAGTCTCACCAGTAACACTGACTGATTCAGTGACCTGGGGTGGGGGTAGAGAGGTGGGGAGGAACCCCAAATCCTGGTAAGAAGTCACAGAGAGGCAGCGAGGGCTGGGGTAAGGCAGAGGACTGCCCACATATTCATGCCTAGTTGGGGGCTTGTGCAGCAGGAAGGGCATCGCAGATAAAGTCCAATACATCAGAGCCGTCAGCAAAGCTGGGAACAAGTTGCAGTTTCCAGATTAATCTCAAATCTCTTGACAAATAATACATTGCCTATCTGGCCGTCAGGTCATAGTTTGAGATGGAAGAAAATGTGTGTACCCAAAGCATCTGTGGGAGCCGAGGTAAAGCCCCTGGGAATCCAAGCAGGAAGACAATTGTGGCCAGTGGTCAGTGAGGAAAGCCTGGTGCTCCGATGACCTCATGGCTCTTTGCTAGACACTCCCTTCCCTCCTGCCCACCTCCACCCTCCAGCATATCAGACAGATGACTGCATGAGCACAGGGGAAAAGTGTTCCCCACAGATAACACTCATTCTCACGTGTGGCTGCCCACCCACTGCCTTGTCCCCCGAATGTCCCCTGACAACATGCTGAGCAAGGCTGAGTGAGTCAGTGGGAACTCACGCACTCTCTCAGCAGACCCAGGAGTGTTTGAAGATTGCACAAGGGCAAATGCCTGGCCATGCCTTGAATTCTTTGTGTGAAATTTTCAGCTCTGACAACGCAGGTCACATTTTGTTCCCTGGTTCACGACACATGATTTTGTCTTCTGAGCAGTTTTTGCCACAAGGATAGTTTCGTGTCTCCTCAGAGGGGCTGAGAAAGAGACAAGCTGAAGAAGCACACTTGACTCGGTGATCCAGCCTCTGGAGCCCACACCTCAAACAGAACCTCCCTCCCCAACAAAAAGGTGGTGACTGTCCCTAATGGTCTGCTTGCTACCGCTGTGTTTTCTGTTCTGCAAAGTTGGAACCAGTATTTACCCCTAGTGCATGAATGGGCTTTGGGAGCCCATTCCCTATGGAAGGATACTCTCTCAGCCTAGATACATGGGGGAGGGCCTCCATCCTACCCCAAATGATGTGACAGACTTTGATGATTCCCCCATGGGAGGCCTCACCCTCCTGAGGAGTGGATGGAGGGTGAGATGGGAGGAAAGGAGGGACAGGCAACTGGGATTGGTATGTAAATAAGATTGTTTTTAATTTAAATGAAAATTAATTAAAAACAAAAACTAAGTTAGTGACGGATAGGCAATAACATAAGCCCTGAACCCAGAGCCCCCCTGGTGTCACCACAGACAGAAAATAAATGCAAAGAGATCATGCACACGAGTGCTTCAGACCTTACTGCTCCCTGGCTCTTTCAGGCCTGGTTAAATATTTGCTTAAATATTTGGGAATTTACACAATAGCTTTTACTAAAGCTGGGGTGGGCAATTACGTGGTGGGAAGTCATGTGACTGTCCGAATTGAACCAATTTGTCAAAGACCATTTTCCTCTCACCCCCCCACCACACCCCACGATAAGATAGGGTCCCGAGAGCACAATAATCTTTTCCTGAGATACAATTTAGAGGCTCCCAAGAAAAGAAACAACAGGGAGGCTAATTTTGGCTTTTCTGAGACTAAAGAAAAACACACAGGCTGGCGCTGTCCTGCCCCAGGAAGCCAGGGTGGGCCCCGTTTTGTCTCTCCAGGGTATCTGCTCAGATCACCAGAAGTTTGGGGGAACAATAGAATGAGTGAGGGGAAGATGGGAACAGAGTCTGACCCTTGAAGCAGTGACCATGCCTGAGCCTCGCCGGGGCTCCACACAGATACCTGCATTTCAGGGTTAACATTTTCTTGAACTGTTTATTCCTTACCATCCCTCCCCAACTAAACATCTAATAAACTAAGTGTTGGGATTCCTTGAGACCCAGCTGTGGCCATTATGCTCTTCGGGGGATCCCCTCCGGGTTTCACTAAGTTGGTATATACTTAACTTTTTTCTTTTTTCCTTGCCACATTTGACTTTCTTCTGATTCTTAGAGGGATCCATGGTTAAAAAACAAATGAAAAAGCCCAGTGAGCTTTGCTAACAATGGTCAGATTTCAGTGTAGCTTCGAGTCTTCAGTCTCCCGTTCCTTTTACAGTAGTCTGGGTGAGGCTCACACATCTGCCTGAGTTCAGGGTGACACCCAGGCTGCTGTTCTGCAGACCACACTTGTGTAGCAAAGCCAGGGGCAGGGGTGGTAATTCACGCCCCCTGAGCTTGTCTGGTAGCCACAGCCTCCTAACTGAGCTCCAGTTCTTCCGTTCAACTCCAGTCCACTCCTGTTGTCACCGGAGGGATCTCATAGCACATTGCCAATGTCATTTTCCTCCTTCCTTAAAAACCTTCTATGATATGGCTAGAGAGAGGGCTCAGTCACTGAGAGCATACATTGCTCTTCCAGAGGACCCGAGTTCAATTCCAAGCACCCACATCTGGCTGCTCATAACCACCTATAACACCAGCTCCATGGGATCTGATTCCTTGGGTCTCTGAGGCCACCTGCACTCACATGTTTAATACCTGTACACACACACACACACACACACCACACTTAAGAGTAAAATAAGTTGGGAAGTGGTGGCCCATTCCTTTAATCCCAGCACTTGGGAGGCAGAGGCAGGCAGACCTCTGTGAGTTTGAAGCCAGTCTGGGCTACCAAGTGAGTTCCGGGATAGCCAGGGCTACACAGAAACCTGTCTCAAAAAACAAAAACAAACAAACAAAAAAAGATAAAATAAATATTTCTAAAAGTCTGTGTCCATAAGCAAATGTGTTATAACTGGTCTCCATTCTATTCTCCCCACTGTATAGGAATGGGAACAGTCATACTGACAATAAGGGGCAACGGAGCCAAGGGTGTGTCTGCGAGGCTTTCAGCCACAGGCTTTCCCGTGCTCAGGAAGCAGGGACAAGCGTGACTAATCCTGACATGTTCTCCATTCCCTGCCTGCACCATAGTCTTCCAGGACGCTTCGTTCTTTCTGTGGGGAGCAGACTTTCTTGGTAGAGGTCACTTTTGTTGGCCATTTCCTGTCAGTTGTCCCTGAGTTTTCAGCAAAGCTGTACATTTAGTTGAGGATTAAGAACTCTCTGGCCCAGCAATGGTGACACACATATTTAGTCCCAGCACTCAAGGAGGCAGAGGCAGGAGGATCTCTGTGAGTTTGAGGACATCCTGGTCTATAGAGTTCCAGGACAGCCAGAACTACACAATGAAACTCTTTCTCAAAAAGAAAAACAAAAACAAACAGCAACAACAACAAAACTCCAACTCTCTGTCTCGTTTAACATTTATTTTATTAATACTGCCCAAGAGCAGGTGATTCTCGTTGGGCATAAGTGGTGCACACCTTTAATCCGGCACTCAGGAGGCAGAGGCAGACGGATCTCTGAGTTCGAGGCCAGGCTGGTCTACAAAGTGAGTTCCAGGACAGTAAGGGCTACATAGTGAGACCCTATCTCAAAAAAAAAAAAAATTAAAAATGGTGTGTCTAAGGAAATAAGAATTTGTGGTCCCAATGCCCTACTCCTTTGATGAGCTGGTAATTAATTTTTAAGGTTCTTAGCAGTCTTCTTTGTTTGGTTTTGCTCCCAATAGTCTCACTATGTAGCCCTGACTGGTCTGAACCCATTATGTAGGCCAGACTGGCTTTGAACTAACAGAGCCTTGTCTACCTCTGATTTCTGGGATTATAGGCATATGCCTACTATACTCAGTCCAAATTTTTTTTTTTTTTTTTTTGAGACACGGTCTCACTTTGTAGCCTTGACTGGCAGGGACCTCAGTATATAGACCAAGCTGGCCTCTAACTTAGAGAGATTCTCTTGTTCTGCCTCCCAAGTGCTGGGATTAAAGGTGTGTTCCACCATGTTTGTTCCAAATCCATTTTTAAGTTATGTCTGTGTTAAGGCTGAGTGAGTTTATGTGTACCACGTGCATGCAGCTGCCCAAGGGGGTCAGAGGGTGTCAGATGCCCCGGAACTGGAGTTACAGGCCATTGTGGGTACTGGGAATGAAACCTGGATTCTCTGCAAGAGCAGCAACTGCTGCTGAGCCATCTCTCTAGCCCCCTAGCAAACTTTCAAGATGTAACTTTCAGGAGCCACCAAACTGTATGTATATACGACTATTGTAAAGATACTGAATTATGATGATCCTGCCCAAATCCATGCTGTTGGGCATATTACCTTCTTTCCCTGAGTACCTTCTTATTAACCTCACTTAAGAAAAATTAAAATCCTCTTTCTGGCCTGCGTGGTAGTGAATGTCTTTAATCCTAGTGCTGGAGAGGCAGAGGCTAGCTGAGTTGTACAGAGTCTGCTCTACAGAGCAAGTCCCAGGATAGCTAGGGCTATACTGAGAAATCATGACTCAAAAATTTAAAAAAAAAAGACTTTAAAAAAAATCTTGCTCAAGGCCAGTCTGGTCTACAGAGTGAGTTCCAGGACATCCAAGACTGTTATACAGAGAAACCGTCTCAGAAAACCAAAACAAACAACAACAACAAAACAAAAAACCCAAAACAAAAACTCTCCATGGCTGGGGAGCAGGCTCAGTCAGTAAGTGCTTGCCATGCATGCACGAAGGACCTGAGTTCAGATTCTCAATACTAAGGAAAGGGCCAACACAGAGGCACACTCCTATAGCTCCAGTTCCGGCAGGGTGCACAGACCAGTAGGTCTGTAGAGTTTATTGGCTACAACAAGGCTAACCTTGTTGAAGTGATGAGCTCCAGGGTCAGCAAGAGACTCTGTCTCCAAACAGAGATGGAGAACAATTAAGGAAAACACCTAACATTGACACTTCTGGCTTCCACCTGCACACACACACACACACACACACACACACACACACACACACACACACACACACACACAAACGCACGCACGCACCCACACTAGTGCATATACATATTGTCTAGATCCAAAAGGAACTCAGGACAAATGGCTAACTATTGTGTCTATTAGCACACCAGTACCTATAGCTCCTCTTAGCTCTTCTCACCCACCCCCTACCCTAAACCTTCTCTAGCTCACTGGCTTCCTTGCCCCCAGCTTCTCATTCCTATATAACCCTGCCATTTCAGCCATGTGCCCTCTTGGCTTTCTCTTTTGCTCTCTCTCTTTTCTTTTCCTGTCTTCTCTTCCTCTCTCACTGCCCCCTTCTCATGGCCCTGTTCAATCTCTGTTTAGTCTACAACTTTCTCTCCCTGCTGTGGACTCTTCCAGATGCCTCTGTCTGTCCTCTCCCTCATATCTACAATAAAACCCTTTTCAACCATACCTTAGTGTGGTCATGTCCTTAGTTTATACATCTGGTGCCAAACCCCCAATTATATACATACCACACACACACACACACACTCATGAGCATGTACATACCACACACACACACACACACACACATGAACAT